TATATATATATATATATATATATATATATATATATATATATATATATATATAGGAGTGATGTCCGTCTGTCTACTGTAATCACGCTATTTTGGAACGACTTAAGATGAATGGCTAGCATTTTTGACGCGTGTTTACTTTGCCAGGAGATAAGTTTTTCATTTCATTTACTTCATACAATTCAATATAAATAAGCCAACATGGCCAAAATCTTTTTTCGAACGTTCCCACGCCTCACATTCCCACCCCTGCCGACCGAGGGGGCGACCTCCCTTTACGGAGGGATCGCGTACACATCATGATCCGCATCATAATGGGAATTCAGTAGGAAATTGAAAACCAGCTACAGAATCTAATTCATCAGCTAGTTTGTCAAATAATAAAACATGTATGTTAATTGTTTAAAAATAAAATTATTCTAGATTTAATAACTTCTAAACTCATACAAAAATCTACATTACAATACACAGAATTAAAGTCAACAGACATTTTACTAAGAGGTTCGCCCATTGAATAATTCGTGCGGTGAAAATCAGTATATAATAATTGGTAGTATCTACTAGATCTAAACGGAACATTAATTCTAATAGATGAATTAGATTAGGAAATCTGAAGGTATATTACCATTTAATATTTTTAGTACATTATTTATTATCTTATATTAACATACAACAGTATAAAAACAGCGTATAACCATATTAATCTAAAAAAAAACTAAATAAATAACAAAAATAATCAACGAATAGTAATATATATACAAAAAAATAATATTAATTTAAATTTAGTAGCACTTTTGTAATTAGACCCTCAGACACAACTCCTCTACCAAGCTAAACAACAGTTAAGCAAGGTAGAGTAGAAAAAGGCAAGATGCATCAACACAATTAAGCGCTAATCATCACTCGTTTTCAACCGAGCGAATGTAGCTACTACAAGTATAGCAAAAAAATCCTTAAAAAAGACGAAGAACGATAAAATTGGACACATTGAAAATAAACAACCATAAAAATGGCCCCCAGCCAATAACTAAAAGGAAATAACAATAAATAACCCGCAACCAAAAACTCAATGAACAGACAAATATTCAAAACACCTCTTCCTGTACATATCAGAAGAACAGGTAAAATTACGCAGGGTCAGAGGGAGCTTATTCCACAATCTCGCAACTCTCACAACAAACGCCTTCTCACCAACTACAGACGAAAATCTTGGAGACAGCAATTGCGGATTTCGAGATGATCTACAAAACACAAACCTATTATATAAAGGAGAATTAACATTCCTCATAATTCTCTAATGACACAAAAGCAGGTGATATTCAACATATCTGTCAAAGGACAGTCCAAGAAACTTAAAACATACTGTGTTACACGATCACTACGGCGTTTGTAATATGGGCCATGTCAGTCCACGTTTTCGTATAGCCCCCGTATAATGGCACTTCCCTTTATTTGCCATTTTGATGACATTATAAACCGGAATTGTTTCAATTTTATTATATTAAGTTGGTAATGGCCACTACAATCTATGACAGAAAATTGTCTAAGCATGTCTTCGTATATATTTTCAAAATAATAGCCATGTTTAGCCAAGATCCCGGAAATAGGTGAAATCAGGGGATACCTTCTAAAAATCAAATTAACAAAATTTGCCAAAATTAGACTACACATCATATTAACAAAATTTGCCAAAATTAGACTACACATCATATTAGAATTCAAAAATGAAAAATAAAAAAAACACTACAAATGACCATTCGAAAATAGTAAATCAAATTGGAAAAAATCATTCAAAATAAAACATTACGATTGTACATTTCAAAAGTCAAAATAAAAATGTTGAAATATCACATTTTTACGCGATTTTTTGGATTTTATCATTTTCGGAGAGGAGACAATTCCGAATTTGTATGAACCGTTAAAATCGGACCAGCGGGTTTTGATTTCGAAGCGTAGTAACTAACAAAACTTTCTCTTAAATATATAAGATTATAACTTTGTGTTTGAATTTTTATTTTTGTTTAAATGCATGATAAATATAGCAGTAATTTTTATAGAGTTAGAAAGGGGGTTCCAGCTGCGATCGACTCTAACGAGATATAATTGTTCATAAATTAAAGTGTGAATAATGGGAGTTGCAATTTGAATATTACACGTTAATCGAATAAAAGAAAATGAATGACAAAAACAATCTGGTTACTGAATTTTCTGAATTTAATTAGAGTGTAATATTATTCTTTGGTTCAGATAATACCCCAAGCTACATCCGAACATGTATACATATATACACTTTCATGGTGATGTATGTACATGTTATTAGTAAATATATCGTATTATTGTATTATAACAGATTGGGTTTAGCTCCAGCTGGCGGAAAATTCTGAAATTTTTACGAAGGTTGGTCTTGTTATCCCAATCACAGCGGCACAATTTTTTTGGAGAAAATCAATACTTCCCGAGATATAGGATTCCAAAATTTCCAAAAAAAAAAACTTTTTTTCTTTTTCTAAACCCATAATCGAAATAACAACTTCAAAATATAACTACAGGTAGGTGGCTTTCCCTTCTTACATCAATACCTTGGACCGGGGTTTGAGATTTTCTCCTCTGGGTTATATCCTCCAGCGGAATCGAGAACCAAAAGTTTTTGTAGAAGCCGGCCCTCTACCGTGGCTTGACATTTCCTCATCTGGGTTATGTCCAACAGCGGCTTTGCGGACCAAAAGTTTCTGAAGTAGCCGGCCTCCGGCCGGGGCTTGAGATTTTCCCCTCTGGGTAAGTCCAACACCGGCTCCGCGGACCAAAAGTTTCTAAAGTAGCCGTAGGGTTGCGTTCTTGCGTTCTTCTTCTCTGGGTTATACCCAACACCGGCTTCACGAACCAAACCGAAGGGAAGTATGGACCCACCTCCCGAAAATATTTGTTGATGTAATCAGGATACAAAAACCTACCTGTAGTGGAATTTTGATGTTTCTATCGGTTTAGAATTAAAGTAAAAAAGGGTATTTTTGGAACATTGGAATCCTATATCTCGGGAAGTATTGATTTCCCGCTGTGATTGGGATAACGAGACCAACCGTCGGTAAAAATTTCAGAATTTTCCGCCAGCTGGAGCTAACTCAATTTAAGCCAAATTCATAAGAATCCGAAAGTTGTCACTAAACTGGAGGTTACAAATTAATTTTCAAGTTGTTTTTGAAAGGTTGTAATGTTTCCGTAGGTTCTGTTCTAACACATATTTTTCTCACTAACTACTGAAAGAATTACAGAATTGCACAATTTTAATAGAACAAATCGTTTAAACTGTTTGGTATATTACTGCCAATCAACGCAAGCAAGGTGAAATTATTAAGTGCATTATAATAAGTTATTAAGATGAGAATGTATACATAATGTATGGCTTAACTCTAGTTAAGTAAAAACTCTGCAATTTTTTCGAAACCCCAGGTTTTTGACCCGAAAGTCCGGGTCCAAGACCCCGACTAGACCCGGATCCAATTACCCGATATAGACAGTATAGATGTCGTTGGAAAGCTTATGAAAATACCTATCCAACAAGTGGATAGGTAAGATGGAACCGTAAGATGTTACGGTTCGGAAGTTATAGTCAAATTATCGATTTTTTGGACCCGGATTTTTTATAAAACCCCCAAAAAGTCAAAAAAGGGACAATTATGGGGGACAACAAAATTGATGCCAAATTATAGCTGACATTCTTACCTTTCCAAAATGCTACAATTTGTGCTAATACCTTTACTGAGTCCAGAGATATGGGTCTTTCCATCCGCATAACCCGATTCTAACCAGTTCATTAAAACTATGTTTTCAATAAAAAAAAGGTATATTTCGCGTAAGCATGAAATTCAGAAATCTTTGGTTCGCGTTAGCTGGTGTAGGACATACCCAGAGGAGAAAATCTCAAGCCCCGGCCGAAGGCCGGCTATATACAAAAAGTGTCAAATTTAGAAAACTTTGGTTCGCGTTAGACGGTGTCGGACATACCCAGAGGAGAAAATCTCAAGCCCCGGCCGAAGGCCGGCTATTTACAAAAAGTGCCGAATTTAGAAACCTTTTGTTCGCGTTAGCCGGTGTCGGACATACCCAGAGAAGATCTCAAGCCCCGGCCGAAGGCCGGCTATTTACAAAAAGTGCCAAATTTAGAAAACGTTTGTTATTCCGTCGACTGCTACGCGAAATAAACCCTTTTTTTATTGAAAACATCATTTTAATGAACTGATTAGAATCGGGTTATGCGGATGGAAAGACCGATATCTCTGGACCCGAAAAAGGTATTAGCACAAATTGTAGCATTTTGGAAAGGTAAGAGTGTGAGCTATAATTTGGAAACAATTTTGTTGACCCCCATAATGGGCCCTTTTTTTGACTTTTTGGGGGTTCCATAAAAAATCCGGGTCCAAAAAATCGATCATTTGACTATAACTTCCGAACCATGACAACTTCCCCCTTCATGTGACCACTTGTGACTAGGTATTTCCATAAGCTTTCAATATACAATATACGGGGCCTTGATCCCGGACTTTCGGGTGAAAAAAAATAGTTTCCCGGGATCAGGGTAAAAATACCTACCTCTGGAAAAAATTCGAAGAAAATCGAAGAGTTTTTATTAAACTAGAGTTGTTCCTAATGTATATTTGTTTGCAAATTTTTGCTTTCATGATAAATATTCTATTTTGCAGGTTTAAACAACTTCAAAAATGGGTTTCAAAGTACACACACTGATACCCATAAATGTGGCATGCACCAGGAAAAATAAAAAAGCAGAGGTTTTTGTCAATATTTAATGCCCAAGGCGACAATATTCTAAAGACATCAGCTGGGCAAAGAAATTAAGGACACATTTATAGGATAAATGAAGTATTTTTTTTTTTAAGAAAATCTCAATTTAATTACACAAAAATACTTTACATTCCGCTTCAATGTATTGAGTCAACTCCAGTATTATACACAAAAGGGAAATATTTTTTTGTCTTTCAAACGCTTACCTTAAACAAAATGGTTGCTTTCTCAAGGTTGAGTTTTAATACCAGATCCAATGTCAAGAAATCAAAAAATATATAGATAAAATCAAAACTCTGTCGGGTAAAACCACCTAGAAAACACTCCCGATTTTTTAGCAACACACTACTGATTTTTGCGTTTCAATTACCTATTAAATCTATAAATCTATTCTACAATTCAGTGAATATGGTATAAATTGGTAGCCATTATTATTTTCACACGTTGCCAACTATATATATTGAGAACAAAAATTATTAAGAAATAAGGGTTTACATAACTAATAAATTTACTAAGCCAATGGTAAATAAAAATGTCAAGTATCCCAGAAAAATGTTCGACATGAGACCACAGCGAGTGTTTCTGTACAACAATTTGAAACAACAGCTACATGCAAATTTGTATGGCAGAAGAATACAGGTAGATGTATCAAAGCTTAAGAGCATTGACATGTCAAATAATTTAAATGTTTTTTTTTTTTTTTTTCAAATATAAATAGTGTTTTATATGTTTTGTTTTTCTGTTTTCAATTTTTACAAATTTAAATAATTTTTCATTCAACATTTTCAATTCCAAAATTGGTTTGACATTTCATTGTCCCAGCAGTTGTGTCGATTGGTCTACCTATATTCTTCTATCATGCATGATAGAACACAGATAGTCGCATCGACACAGCTGCTGGGACAATGAACTGTCAAACCAATTTTGAAATTCAACATTTTGAATGAAAAATTATCCAAATTCGACAAAATTGTTAAAAATGCATATCATAACAACCTCCCATTGACGTCGTATAAGAAAACATACAAAAGCTACTTATTTAAAAAAAAATATTTTAAAACGTTTGACATATCAATGTTCCCCAGCATTGATACATCCGTCTTTATTCTTCTACCATAGTTAGCGGAATAGCGGAAATAAAACTATATGAAACGTTTGGCAAATCAAATGAAACTTTTAAAATTTATAGAAAGAAACATAAAAAACATTCTTCAATTGTGACTAATATATAGTTAAATAAATACCTTATATAATGAAACTAGTACTACTACTACTAGTATAAACTAGTAGATTATATGATACATTTTGAATCAAAATTACCCCAAGTGTAAACAACTAACTTGCATAAAGTAGTTTTAAATTATAAAGATAGTAAAAGAAAAGTAAGATTAGATAAAGTAAAAACTTATGCTTGAGGTCATTATGGTATTGATGATGAGGATGATCTCAGTAATAAGCTTTAGAATTATGAATCTGAAATGGATATTTACATCTATTTAATATAATATATTGTATTATTGATTAATCCAACAACATGTTATTTATTCCACATTCCCCTTATGAAATAAAAAAGTAAATAAGATATTTGTTAAGTATTTTTTAAAGGTTTTTATTTTGTTGAAAATTTACAAAAAAAAGAAAAGAAAATTAAAGAAAATTATTAAAATGAGAAAATATTTAGATTAATTTTCGAACAATTGCTGTGAGTTGTGTATATTCAATTAGTCGATCATGAAGTACTGAACATTCTGCTGTTGTTTTCGATGGTATTGGTGTATTGATTTCAAATTCCAGCTTAACATCTGTAGGTTCGTTTTTAACGGTTTCGTTTTGATAGCTAACATCAATTACAACAATTGGTGTGTTTTTAAGCTTTTACCACGATAGAATTGGTTCGGGTTCTTTTAGAAAATAGTTTTGTTAAAACTTTGCGTACATATCATAGAGTACTGCATATCTGTTGTTTCATCGAACGGATATGTTCTGGAATTTAAATGAACCTTAACATTTACTAAATTAGAGCGAATGAATTGTCCATCATTTTCTAGAGCTAATATTACAAAGCGTGGTCTTTCGCTATTTGTTGATAATTCAACATTCCAATGACATTTTGTTGAACCTGGAAATGTTGGATTAAAATGACAGTGCCAGCTTCGAAACGCAATAGGGAGTCACTTGACATTGTTAATTGTTTTCATAATTTCTAATTTAAATGTATATGAAAAATGCATATGATGTATTTTTCATGTTATATTTGTGATTGTTAAAATTAATTTTCCATTTGAGTCGGGGAATCAGTATGCACAATTTTCAGTTGAACTCCGCAACATAATAAGATTATGTTGTAATCTTCTGCAAACACCAACAGCCCTTTGAGAGGGACGCAAAATTTGAATACACCCATGCTTAGATTTTCACTATTATTCCAGCCTGCATTTATAATTACATTGCATTCAGCAAATGCTAAACTAATTTGTTTATTGTGCTCGATGCACCTGAATGGTGTTTGAGCGATCTACTTTAATACCATTTATTTCATATCGGATTTCAACAAAGAAATAGACTACACAGTTGTTACGCAGACGAGCATTAGACGATAGTTCTCCTCGTGGCAAAGTTACCGAACCTTCCACATATTTCTGTTTATTCATATATTTATTGTTGATAATAATTTTGATATAGGTCTCAAGTGCAATCGAAGGGTAATTTCTTCTCCTCTGGAATTTATTAGTCGTTGATTTTGATCAACGACATACACTTTAAGCGAGCTTATTACTTTCGCTTTCACAGGAAGATAAATTAAATTGCTTGGTATTTCATCCATTTTATATCCAGGGGAAACATTCGTGTAGAGTATGTACAGGTGCATTATTCATGTATGCTCCATTTGTTATATTGCATTGAACTTGTATTACGCTCACTCTTAAAATCTTTACGGGGTAATATGATAAATGCTTGTAGCAGGTCGTGAAATCCCGCTGTTGAAGCCAAAAAGCGTACAGATGGAACGTTCATTATTAAAATCAATAATGTCATGAGATGAAAGCATTTCAAGTTTTAATGCGTTTTTATTAGCTATAATTTCTATAGTTTGTGTTGTTTTCGTATTCACTTTTAATAGAAACCAATAGGAATTTCTATTGCTTCATTTTCGATATGAAACAAATTGTTATCGAAATCGATATTTGGTATAAAAATTGTATGAGTGGAAGCCAACTAATAAACACTCATAATCCTCATGTAATTGAATTGGTGGGAAATAATTAGCAGTTAAAGTTGAAGACTTGATTGAAATATTAATTGACATAATTAACTTAATTGACATATTGAAGGCTTATATAGAAATGAAAAGACATATGTTTGGTATTTATGAATAAAGAATTTTATTAATCAAATTTTATGTGTTGATGTTAATAGATATTACAATATCTTCCTATAATAAGTCGTTTTTATTTATCCATGAATTATGCTACGTATATTTTTATTTTATATTGCACCCCAGACAATGTGGTTTGACCTCTCTGGTTTCAAATGCATCAGAACCAGTGTTAAGCTGCCCTCAGACACACCAACAGTTGGCCCAACTTGTGACAAGTTGGTACAACTATTGGTGCGTCTGAGGGCTAGTTGTACAACTTTTTCGAAAGTTGGTTGAAGTTGGTTGGAAATATCAAAAATTTTTGATAATTTCGTAAGTTGGCCCAACTGTTGATGAGTGCGAGGGCAAGTTGTACCAACTTCAGTGTTTTCTTCATTTATGTCTTGACTTTGGTGAAGCAGCACATACATAAGCTGAGCGCTGAGCGCAAGCTTTTTCTTTCTCTGCAGTTGTCTTTCTTCTTCTTCCTCTAAAATTATATCAATTCCAAGTAGCGCAAGAGCATCCGAGTTCATGTTGACGCTTCAAAAATACTTTGTAAATATATGAAAAGTTGGTACGTGCGAGGAGACCGACCAACTTTTTCATACAACTTAAAAGTGACAAGTTGGGCCAACTGTTGGTGTGTCTGAGGGCAGCTTTAATTTAAATTACTTGTTACATATTTTTATATTCCCCTCCATTGTAATCCACTTTGTTGATCGTGGCTGCATTGTTTTATTTAAAGATTTTTGCAGTGGTAGCTTAGATTTCTTGTTGTTGCAACATTGTCTGCTGTTGCAGCTCCTGCCGCCTCATACACTCACTAATCTATACTAGATGCAAAGCTTGCAGTAGCCTAGTGGTAGGGACTTCGGTTAAGCACCAGGAAACCCAGGTCAAATCCCGGGCCAGTCATATTATTTTATTTTTTTATAATTTAAAAATTCTTTTTAGAATCATTTTTTCCTATATCTCCAAATTGTTAGCGGGATGTAAAGTAAAAAGGAGTACTAATTTTATAAATATTACTTACAAATCGTTATGGTCATGATTGGCGAATTCAAATGTTGGTGTTTGTCATAGTAAGTATTGCCATAATTTCCCTACTAAAAGTGGTGAAATTTGGTTACTCTCATTAAAGCTCCCTTTTCTTGTTTCTGTGGCTACCTATACATAGATATGTAGACGTAAGTAATATTTTTATTTTCTGGAGCCATGTTTAATTTTGGAATTTTAAGTATATATTAGTGATTCAGTTGTTTGCCCCATTGATTTAGTCGAGTTTACAAAAGCTAGTGACATGATGGAAAAGAGGTTATTTTTGGTTTTGTTCATTAAACAATTAACACCCAGAGCCTAAATCGGTGCAGCTAAAATATTGTCAAAAGGATTTTGCCTATCTTTTTAAAGTTGAGTGACCTTTGGATTTGGAAAGGATGGCCAAAATATTAAATAAAACTCGGAGGAAATGGTTATTGTTTATCAAGAGTTTGCTGTAAATTTTCTGGAAATCAGCAGAAAATGTAACTACCCTCATCATCGACATATTCACTTTGATTCTGCTTTGTCCAGTAAATAACATTTACCCTTATCTCCTTTGCTTCATGGACCTGATTTTTCTTTCTCCAGGAAATTCAGTGTTGTCCACTGTGTTAAAATTTACTTGAATTCCCTTTACTCCTTAGTTCAGTTTGCACAACCCCGAAAGTTGTAAGGTGGTAACTGTGAGAGCAGCTTAAAAAAGCCTCAACGAATAGTTTCTTCTGTTACTCAGGTGATCAACTAGACAAAGTCGACAGCAGGGAAAAACATATTTAAAAGTGGTTTCAACGAGTATCTCCGCTATATAAAACTCGTGATGTTTCTATACCAAGTTTGTGCTTTTTCAACAATTTCACCGGAAAATTCTACACAAGTTTTAGTAAAATTCAGCTTATTTGACATTATTACATGCCGTATTTGGCTTTTGTTGCATAAGATTTTAGTTGATTCGTTTTTGTACTTGGTAGAGGAAAGATATAAAAGTGAAACAAAATTGATGATCCAAATGAGAGTAACATTGATATTTTTATTGTATTCGGTAAATTCGTTGTAGATTTTGTGTAAAGTGCAAAAAGAGAAAAACATTTGGAAAA